TCTGTTCGGTGCTCTTCACGCTAATTCGAGTGATGACAACGAAGTAACTGCAAAATGTACAAATAACAATAAAAAACTAGGGGGAAAAAACGAACAACAAAGTGGGGCGGGGAGGGGGGTGGGGGGAAGGGGGGTCCGGGGTTGCCGTTGTAAGAGCCATCGCTTGGAAGCGTCGGGCAGTTATTTGTCTGGTGCCATACTATGAATCGTTTTTATGCCGCAACGCGTCTCAGGTTACTAGTTTTGCCCTACCACAGTGGAATCCCGAGAGCAGTCGCTCGGCAGCTCAAACACGGACACCGGAGACTTCGAGTCCCAAATCTCCGAGCTCTCGCCATCTGCCAGCGGAAGGGGCTATTGGTTCATATACTACTTAGCAAGCCCACGAAAGCACTGCAACGCTTCGCAATGAAGAAAAAGAAAAACGCTTTTTGTTATTAGTTATCGGTCAGAAAACTTTGACGGACATCTCAAATACGTCAAACATGTTTGGTGGTTGCGTCAAGACACTTCAGAAATCTGGGTAGGCTCCATAGACGGAGTTTAAATAGGCTCGTTCCACTAGAGTGACGAACGCCAATTTTTGTCAGGCGACAAAGTAAAGCTGTGCGTTGTTGATTTTGTCCAACTGTAGCAACGAATATGGCCGACAAAAACCGACAAACGATCGACGACACTGCAGTTGTTTGTCGTCTGACTGGCACCTCTGACGCGGGAGCAGCAGTCGCACCAGCGAACAACACTCATCGATGAACCCGTCCTCCAGATTTAAAAGCTGGGCAATCAGTTAGTAACGGTTCATGGTGATTCAAAAGAGCACACGCAGCACCCTCACCGCTTTCGTCCGTCGGCCCTCTTGTGCTCCTCGTTCTTTACTTCGTTTGCATTTGTCTGCTACCGCAATTTGAGCTCGCTAGGCGTGTCGGCCCGGCCCGTGTCGCGAAAGGTGCAATAGCAACTGCCGCGGAGTCGAGTGAGACGCAGACGTATTGGGTTCGAGTCGGCAAGTGAAGTGATTTTATTCAGGCCGGTGATAATATAGGCTAGCACGAAGGACCAAAAGAGTGAGGGGGCACTACTCGCGACCTCCACATCTCCCCTTCAGGGAAAAGAAACAAACTTGTTGTCTTTATAAATTAAGTTTCTTGGGCGTCTAGATGCGTCGCCCGAAGCGAGAAACTCTGCCCTGTTGCTGAGGGCACACTGGTGTCTGCGGCGAGGGCACCCCGTGGCGTTCTGATGCTGTGCCCAGCACCGGGGATTTCGCCAGAGACCGCGGAGACCCAGTGAAGAATTGTAGGGGTTGTGGAGGCGGCGAAGTAGCATGACGAGGCACTGCAGGCAGGGTCGATGCAGCTGGAGTGTCGCAGACCGGCGGCCTGGCAGACTCCACTGCAGGCTGAGGTGGTGTAAATAGAACCAGATGACGACGGTTCCGCTCAAGTATGCCTGTGGGAGTCTGTACAACGTACGAGCGAGGTAGTCTTGCTGGCCCCAGGACTAGAGCAGCTTCAGGTACTTCTGCGAGCCAAACATCTTTGCCTGGAGACAGCGGAGAGAGTGGACGTGCGGCGTGGCGCCTGTTGTAGGCCTGCGCCTGTCGGCGTCGAGGAGACGAGTCTCGCTCGTAGAAGAATGTCCTTGGAGGCGATCGAGGGGTCAAAGCCTCCTCAAGCTTGGGCACGGTGGTCTGCAGTCTTCTCCCCATCAAAACTTGCGCTGGGCTCCATTCACTTACTCCCGGGGTGTCGCGATAGACGAGCAGGGCCAGGTAGGGATCCCTCGTCTTGGCCAGCAGGTCCTTCACTGTCCGCACCATGCGTTCAGCCTCTCTGTTTGCCTGCGGGTACCGGGGGCTGCTGGTTACGTGATGGAAGCCGAAAAAAGCAGCGAAGGAGGCGAAGTCCCTTGAGGAAATCTGAGGCCCATTGTCGGAGACGACGACAGTGGGAATGCCAACGCGTGCAAACATGCTCATCATTTCTGCAATAACAGCCAAGGAAGACGCCGACGACAGGGTAATTACCTCCGGGTAGCGCGAAAAGTAATCTACCGTGAGGAGGTAGTGACGTCCGCCTTGTTCAAACAAATCAGCCCCCCCCCCCCCCCCCCCCGAAACCAGGGCCTGCTCGGAGTCTGGGAGCCCATGAGCGGCCCGTGGCGCTGTAGCCGGCACCATGACAGAACAGCACACGACAAAACAGCACGACGACAAAACAGCACGCGTCAAAAAAGCACGCGACAAACAGAACAGCGTCAAAACGGCACAGTGACAGAAGAGCACGTGCCAAAACAGCGCGGCGTCAAAACAGCACAGCGTCAGAACAGCACAGCGTGAAAACAGGACATTGACAAATAGAGCTCGGGTTTGGCGTTTTCGGTTTTAATTATTTTGAAATTCGGCGTACATTTTTTGGTTTTTATTTCAAGCAGAAGTTTTCGGTTTATTGCTGAGTATATTTGTAAACTCATAAACTTTTTAGTTCTTTTCGGTTTATTGACGAAAACCAGTATACTGACGAAAATGCAATATTTAAAGGCGTTTGTTTAAAATGAATAGTGAGTGAACCAGGTACTGAATTTCTTATTTCTTGCTGTCTGTGGCAGCCGACGCGACCTGTTCTGCAAGACGCACTGGGGCCCTATCGTGATCTGACATAATCGTCGTGGGCTCGTATTTGTACACAGGACGAACATGAGCTTTACTACCACTTCGGTTGGAGAGAGAAATACCAAAATCCAAACAATTGCAAGCATTGTACTCAATACGTCTTTGCCCCATTTTCACGACTGCGAGAGGTGGCATTCGCGCAATCCAAGAGACGACAATAAGTCAATCGTATGTATGCCCTCTTCTGGTAGACGGAAGCTATGGGTGTAAAAAAATGTGCGACATTTACGGATGCCCATCAATTTTATTGTTCAGTTCACGATTAAACTCTCTTCTTTGAAGAAACAATTCTACACACAAATCCCTTATCAGCTGAAAACCCCACATTTCGTCCAGAAGACCATTGCGTCGTTTCAACTTTGGTTAAAAGTTGAACCGATCTGGAGACAGGCTCAAAACTGCGGAAGGAAGTGGTCATACGGTCAGTAATGAAGCACATTCCCCCACCCACCCCTCCAAACGCCCTCGAAAATACTGACCTTTTTCAGTTAAAACCGAATTTTTAAAGAGATTTCGTCGCACTTTTATCGGTTTTATCGGTTTCAGCCGAAAACGCTGAACCCTAAATATAGCGATGGAGTTAAAAAATGCATGTCTCCAAGTAGGCACTGTAAAAGAATGGAGGGCCTAGGCCAATTCCTCGAAGGTCATCTCGTCGACGGCTAATTTGTCGAGTCCGTTCTCATGGGAGCACTTTGGGAGTGGGGAGTATACTCGATCCGTACATGAACGCTCCCTGGGCAGTACCGAAGCCCCCGCTGGTGCGTATTCTGACTATTTCTCGAGCAATTCTGCTAATATTGACGCTCAAGTTTGCTGGTGATGTCCTCTATAATAAATAAATAAATCGCACGACAATGTGTTATTGTTAGCGCACGACAATGTGTTATTGTTAGTTGTTAAAAATAAAACAGAAAGTGTGTGCGACAACGGTTGGCTTAGCCCACACTGTACGGCAACAGCACTGAGGCTGTGGCATATTTCTGCTTCACCGGTTTCCAGTCGATCGAAGCCTTCGTCGGAAATAATCTGTGAATTTAACTCAAAACAACTTCTCGCCTGCAAGCTGCAGCCACGTGTTTCCGGGACATTTTTTTCACGGCGAATGAACACCGCAGAATCGTTGCCCATGGTACACCTTGAAGTCGCTCGACATTAAAGTTACCATATCTTCCCTGTTCTATCAAGGCATCTGTAATCGGCGCATCTCCTGCTTTTTTGGGGAGCCGTTCTACGCTTAGGTGGTAATTACGAAACGACGAGTACTACAGAAGCTCACCGGACCGCCGCAAACCAGACGGTTCATAACTTCAACTTATGGATTTTTTTCCCAATAACTTTTCATCTTTCGTTAATTAAAAAAAAAAGATATATATACCAGACAACGCGCTTAACATCGACGCCAAGATACGACCTCTAACCACCCAATCTCTTCAGAGATCAGCGTAGTTAAGTAGTAGTAACTACTGCTAACTTCGTTTGTTTTTAGCAGTAACAGCAGCACCAGTCGGGACACTGACTTAACAATTAAATATGCAATAAATTCCTTTATAACCTAGCGGCAATAAATGAAAGGGTTAAGGAGGATCGAATATATTCGCCCAGAGAGAGGTGAAGAGCGCGCTCGAAGTTGCTACATGCCTGCTGTTTTGTCGCTGTGCTGTTTTGCCGCCGGGCTGTTTTGGCACCTGCTCTTCTGTCGCTGTGCTGTTTTGAGGTTGTGCTGTTTTGTCGCGTTCTATTTTGACGCCTGCTGTTTTGTCGCCGTGCTGTTTTGACGCTGTGCTGTTTTGACGCGTGCTGTTTTGGCCGTGCTGTTTTGTCGCGTACTGTTTTTTCGTGTGCTGTTCTGTCGCGTTCCCGCTGTAGCCGTGTCTGAGTGCAGGTCTAACAGCCGGCCACCAGCTGTTCCAGTTGCGAGTTCAGTGTCGGCCACCACACGGACTCGCACGCCCGTGCCTTGCAACTACCAATTCCCTAGTGGCCCTCGTGCAGTCTGGTCAGCATGTCACGTCGGAGCACCGCAGCACCAGGATCCGGTTGTTGTAGAGCAGCAGCCTCTCGTAGACTGTGATGGTCCTCCTCGTGCTCTAGAAGCAACGTAGATGGGCAGGAACTTGCGACGCTCGCCGCGGCCACATACGCTCGCAGTGACGAGCCAGATCCATGCAGGTTCCGTCTTCCTCCTGGTGTTTGCGCAGTTGCTCAAGACCAAGAGCAGTGACGTCTCGCAATCTCCTCACGATGTTGTTTACGAAGCGCTCTACATCGAGGGAGTCGACTTCCAGACTGGCAACCTGCATAGTAGCTGGAGCCCAGTGTAGCAGGGCACAAGCTGTGTCATGCTAGTGAAAGAGCTCACCCAATCATGTACCGTAGAACGTCCTACGTCACACCGTTCCTCGCCTTGATAAAGGCGCACTTCGTAACAATAAACATCATTCATCACCCGACTGGCGGCCCGCTTACATGGTGGCAGCGGTGCCCAGTCGAGATGTCGAAACCGTCAACGCCGCCGATGCCCCCATTGCCGTCAACGCTGCTGCCGCCACCGAAGCCCCTGGACACCTCAGGCGACGCATGGCTCGGATGGAAAAATTGGAAACGTGAGTTCGCCTTGTTTTCCACCGCTACGCAATTGAGCAATCAGCCAGAGGAAGTGCAGGCAGCAACCTTACTAATAACAATCGGAGAAGAAGCCAGAAAGGCGTACGAGACCTTTAAGTTCACAACAGATGAAGAAAGAAACAGTGTAGAAGTACTGATTCAAAAGTTCGAAGAATACTACAAGCCCGCTACAAACCTGACTTTCCAGGAATTCAGATTTGGGTCAAGAGACCAAAAAGAAGGTGAACCTTTCAACGAATGGTTAACAGAGCTAAGGATTCTAGCTAAGAATTGCGAATTTGGAGAGCTAGAAGATCGGATGCTACGCAGCCGTATCATCCTAGGAGTTCGAGACAAGAGCCTGCAGCGGAAATTACTTGTTGAAAACCCAACCTACGAAAAGACCGTTGAGCTGTGTCGCCTTCAAGAACAAGGGCAGGAAAAGTTCCGAGAGATTACTGGAACAGCGCAAGGCGCATCTGAGACAACTATTAATGCTGTTGCTGCGAAAAAGAGTCCCTGCTCTAGGTGCGGCTATTTTACTCACCGCTGCGAAACCTGCCCAGCAAAAGGAAAAACGTGCAAGAAATGTGGAAGGCTTAATCACTTTGCTCAAGTGTGCAAGACGCCGGTACTTCAACAAAGCGCGAATAAACCGAAGAAAGAACTACGCGCTCTGCACACCGAAAGTGACGAGGAATTCTTTCTCGAAGCATTAACGGTAAACTGGGTCGAGACCGACAAATGGAGCGCGTCAGTTCACATTGAGGGCAAACCAATGGCGTGCAAGCTAGATACGGGCGCTAACTGCTGCGTCATATCAATGCAAGACGCCGTAAAGCTTTCAGATAAGCCTCGGCAAGAGTGTCAAGTGACGCTAACTGCGTTTTTCGGAAACAAGACGACTGCTCACGAGAAAGTAAAATTGCTTCTTTCCGCAAACGGCAGAGAGCACGAAGAACTCTTCTTTGTCGTAAAACAACATGTGCCGATCACCTTGAGCGGATCCGTTGCCGAGCGCCTGGGACTTCTGTACCGGGTGCAGAATGTTCATCTAGACAACTTGTACCAAGCCGCACAACCTTTTGCAGAAGTTTTCAAAGGCCTTGGGCAATTGAAAGATGTCGAGTATGAAATGAAGCTGAAACCTGGAACTGTTGGAGTCGTCGTGCCGGCCAGGAGAGTTCCAGTTGCTCTTCAAGACAAGGTGAAGGCGGAACTTCAGCGCATGGAAGAGCAAGGCGTCATAACCAAGGTAACAGAGCCTACTGCATGGTCTAGCCACATGGTCACCGTCATTAAAAATGACAAAGTGCGTATTTGTTTGGACCCTACGGCACTCAACAAAGCACTTTTGCGTGAAAACTACCCAATGCCAACCCTAGAGGACGTCGCGCCGCTACTGTCTGGAGCAAAATTCTTTTCGACCCTAGATGCGGCATCAGGATTTTGGCAAATCAAACTTACAGAGTCGAGTTCCAAAATATGCACGATGAGCACACCGTACGGCCGATATCGCTTCCTCCGGATGCCCTTTGGAATCGCATCCGCGCCAGAAATTTTTCAAGCAGCAATGCACCGCCTACTAGAAGGGCTACCTTGTGTCGCCGTAGTGATGGACGATATTCTACTCTGGGGCAGAACAAAAGAAGAGCACGACCATCACTTGACACTACTGCTGTCGCGCTGCCGAGATCACAATCTGCGACTGAATCTAAAGAAATGTACCTTTTTGCAGACAGAAGTCCGCTACCTAGGTCACATCCTCACCACGAAAGGCCTGCGCCTGGACCCGGACCGCGTAAAGGACATCCTGGAGATGCCGCCACCCTCAAACAGTAAGGAGTTGCAAGTTTTTCTTGGCACAATGAACTTTGTACAGCGTTTTGTACCTCGCATGTCCGACGTGACTGCGCCGCTGAGAGCTCTACTGCGCAAGGATGTTGCCTGGGTGTGGACCGAACAGCAGCAAAACAGTTTTGACGCCCTAAGACGAGCATTGATCGAAGCACCGGTTCTGTCGTACTTTGATCCAAAAAAATCAGTCACTCTTTCTGTTGATGCCAGTCAATACGGAGTGGGGGCCGTCATTACTCAGGAAGGCCATCCTATCGCTTTTTCATCAAGATCCCTTACGGAAACGCAACAGCGATACGCACAAATTGAAAAAGAAACACTGGCAATTGTGCACGGCTGTACCAAATTTCATGATTACATTTTCGGCCAGGCGGAAATAATTGTCGAGACAGATCACCGTCCCTTGGTGCCGATTTTTCAAAAACCACTGCATCAAGTTCCACTTCGTTTGCAGCGTATGCGATTGACTCTGCAACGTTACCCCATCCGTCTTCTGTACAAGCCGGGCAAAGAACTCTTTCTTGCCGATGCTTTGTCACGCTTCCCCAGTAAAGTCAGCATGCAAGAAGAAACCACCCAGTTTCATGTGAACGTACTTGCTTACGTTTCAGCATCAGAAACTCGCCTTAAGGACCTTCTTGGAGCAACCAATGAGGACCCCGAACTCTCAAACCTGCGTGACTACGCGGAATCAAGCTGGCCTGATAACAAGCAAGACGTCCCAGAAATCGTCCGTCCCTACTGGGCGTACCGCGAGGAGATACACACTCAAGACGGCCTTCTGTTTCGCAGCAATAAGGTAATGATACCAAAAGCAAAAAGAGTAGAAATGATGTACCTCCTGCACATGGCACACGCGGGGGCGGAGAAGATGAAAGCGCGAGCAAGAAGTGTGTTGTTTTGGCCAAACATGTCCAATGATATAGAGCAGTTTTGTAAAGCCTGCAAGGTGTGCCAGATGCATCAGCCACGAAACGTAAAGATGCCTCTTCTGAGCCACGACGTCCCGACATTGCCTTGGGAGATCGTGGGAATGGACTTGTTCTCATACGGCGGACGCGAGTTTGCAATAATAGTAGACTTCTATTCGTTCTTTTTTGAGGTTCGGGAGCTCCGCCACACAACCGCAAACATGGTTAAATCGTGGTGTGCTGAAGTTTTTTCAGTTCATGGGCTACCACTGAAGCTGTGTAGTGACAACGGCCCACCATTTAACAGCAAAGAGTTCAAAGACTTTCTAGCCCATCTAGGCGTAATGCACACTACCTCTAGTCCCTACCACCCACGCTCTAATGGTATGAGTGAAAGAGCAGTTCAAGAGGCCAAGAAACTTTTAAAAAAGTGCTCGTTCAGAATGCCAGACTTCCAAATGGCTTTACTTGAGTGGCGAAATACTCCCAGAGATGCTGTCCTCAAGTCTCCTGTGCAGAGGCTGATGGGACGACAGACGCGGACGCTGCTACCAGTACCAACAAGCCACCTGGAGCCGGAGACTGTGCCAAGCAAAGCTGTCCACAACCGCCTCAAGGCGATCCGGCAGCGGCAGATGACCTTCTACAACCGCAACTCCCGAAACCTGCCGCCATTGTCACCGGGGCAACAGGTCACGACGTACGACACACGCCAGCGAACCTGGTCGCCAGCCGTCATCCTGAGACCAGCGGGCACCCCGCGTTCAGCGATTTTTCAGACTGAAGACGGCCGCGAGATTCGACGCACAAGAGAGCACCTAAGGGAGGCAGCATCCCAGCCGGACTCAAGTCGACCTTCCACCGAAGACCGACCGGCAGACCAGGACATCAACGAGCCCAGTCAAGAGCTACGCAGAAGTACCCGAGAACGCCGGGAACCCTGCCGGTACCCACTACCCGAAAGACTGTAACAAAGCCCCTTCCCCTTTCCCATTCTCCTTTAAAGAGGGGAGATGTAGCAGGGCACAAGCTGTGTCATGCTAGTGAAAGAGCTCACCCAATCATGTACCGTAGAACGTCCTACGTCACACCGTTCCTCGCCTTGATAAAGGCGCACTTCGTAACAATAAACATCATTCATCACCCGACTGGCGGCCCGCTTACACCCAGAAGAGGATATCGGCGGTGGCGTTAAGCTTCCCAGGGACGTAGAGTACCCGTAACTGGAAGCGAGGGAGCCTCATCCGCAGCCGTTGAATTCTTGGAGGGACGAGGTCTAACTCGGCGTTGCCCAGAAGTGTGACTAGAGGCCTGTGATCATTCTGGACGTCGAACTGGATACCCCGGACGAACTCTTCGAATCGTGTGGGTGGCTGGAGGCAGCGATGGGCCGAATCCAGGACACTCTTCAAGCGGCGATCGTCACGGTCCAAGAGTACGTGACGCCTCGAGGCCTGGCCTGCTCGCCCCAGAAGTCAGAGCTCCTCCTTCTCAAACTGGTGCGAGCTAAACAGCTCCTTTCAGATATCGAGCTGTACTCGCGTGGAGTCCGAACTCCGGCGGTTGAGAGCAGCCGGGTTTTTTGGGCTTCGCATCGAAGTGGACGGCAACAACTACGAGACGATCAACTCGCTCAAGGCTACGGCCTACCAGATCACACGACTCATGTAGCGCATCTCCGGCCGTAAATTTGGCATGAGAGAAAGTAACCTGGTGCGACTGGTCCGTGCCTTCGTCGTCAGCAAGCTGGCATACGTGCTGCCGTTCCTTCGTCTCGGGTTAGCAGAGAAGACCAAGCTCGACTGTCTTATTCGCAAGTCGTACAAGAGTGCGCTGGGCCTGCCCGACTCCACTTCGAACAACCGTTTCGCGGCCCACGGCCTTCACAACACGGTGGACGAGATCGTGGAAGCTGAACGCCTATCTCAAACGGAACGTCTCACGAGAAGTGCGACAGGTCGCCATATTCTCCGAAGCCTTGGCATTCGCTACGACAGTCAGACTGGGCCCAAGTGCGCCGTTCCCACGCAGGTCCGGACCGCACTCCTGATCCAGCTCATTCCGAAGCACATGCACCCTGTCGCTGTCGCGGTCGGGCAGTGAGCGGACAGAGACCAGCCTGTGAGTGTGTCAGTACCCTCTGGCGAGCCCAGGCGAGCCCACGTTTATTCGTGTCTCAAGCGCCCCCCGTCTCCCGTGCGGTGGCGCCCTCTCTCGGCCGCTCGCCTAACCCTCCGACACCCCCCCACCCCCCTTTCCTTAACTTGAAGTCTTACAAGTCCAGGCGCGCTGGTCGTCTCACTTGTCGTCCGCTGCGCGTCTGCCTCGGTTTGGGTGTCGGGTAAGTTGGCCCATTGATGCTTGGCTCGTCAACAGAGGCTGGTTGCCGAGCTGCTTGTTCTTCTGCAGGCTGTCTTTCCGGCTGTAGGTGCCTCTGCGTGCGTCTTGAAATGCCGGACGCTGTTTCACCACATATGATCGAAGTTCTGCGGCAGCGTGCCGTACTCTCCCATGTGTGGCTGCTCCGGCAACAATCTTGACTCTGGTGTCTGGCTGTATAGGCCCGTAGTCGGCAGCTCGGTGACACTTGTTGTACTGTTGTGCTTGGAGCCTCCTATACTGTGCGTTGCGTGTTCTAAAGTCTTCGCAGTTCCAGTGCGGCCGTAGTGACCCTGGGGCTGCAGGGACGCTCGTCTTTACCTTGCGTCCCATGAGGAGCTCAGCTGGGCATTACCCCTCCTTCCCTGGAGTCGCTCGATGTGCAAGAAGTGCTTGCTGTACATCGGGAGACTTCCAAAGAAGCTGCTTTGCTGTCTGCACTGTTCTCTCTGCTGCTCCGTTGCTTTGTGGATAGTAGGGGCTGGAAGTGATGTGTTTGATGCTCCAGTCCCTGGTAAAAGATTTGAATTCAGCAGATGCGAACTGTGGTCCGTTGTCGGATCGGATGACATCCGGCGTTTCGAAACGAGCAAACATTGGTCGCAGAGCCTCGGTGACGTCTTCTGTGGTCGTTGTCCTCAACTTGACCAACTCGAAGAATCTAGAAAAGTAGTCGACAACGACCAGGTAGTTGTCGCCTTCAAGCGAGAAAAGATCCATGCCGATCACTTCCCATGGCCTCTCGGGAAGAGGCGTTTGCAGGAGAGGGGCTACTCCTGGTTTGCGTTCCTCTCGACAAGTGGGGCATCGGCGAACAAAGTCCTCAATGTGAACGCCAATGTTTGGCCACCAAACCGCTTCTCTGGCTCGGGCTCTACACCTGGCTACGCCTTGATGCCCGGTGTGGATGTTGTCTAGGACTTCGTTGCGAAGGGCTGGGGGTACAACCAGTCGGTTGCCCTTGAACAGAAATCCTTGCACTATTGAGAGTTCGCCCGCTATTTCGCAGTATCGCCGCACTTCTGGTGGTGGAGCTTTCATGCTCGGCCAGCCCGTAGAGCAGTACTCCCTGACTCGAGACGTGACTGGATCCTTCCCGATTTCATCTTTGATCCGTGAGAGCATGTCTCTTGATGCAGGTAACAGTTCCACTGTGAGAACTTCATACTCCCGGACGGCTTCCTCCAGGTCGGCAGCTTCCTTTTCTCCTGCTCCAGTTAGTGGCTTACGTGACAGCACATCTGCCGTGTGGATCTCCTTTCCCGGGATGTGGGAGATCGTGAAGTCATACTCGAGTAGTCGCATGCGGAAACGTTGCAGACGAGGACTCAGTTCATCTAGACACTTCGTGGTGAGTAGTGGCACAAAAGGCTTGTGGTCAGTCTCAATATGAAATTGGAGCCCTAGGAAGTATGTGCGGAAGTGGCCACTGGCCCACGTGATGGCCAGTGCTTCCTTCTCAATCTGGGCATAGCGTTGCTCAGTTTCCGTGAGTGCCCTGGATGCATGGGCAACTGGTCGTCGCTTGCCTTGGGACTCCTGCAGGAGCACAGCCCCAATCCATAAGATGAGGCATCGACCGAGAGCGTCAATGCTCTCTTGGGTTGTACATTGCCAATGCCGGGGTTGTGATGAGAGCTGCCTTGGTCTGCTCGAAGGCTTGCTGCTGAGCCTCTCCCCAGTACCAGACTGCATCATGACGAAGTAGGTCTCTCAGTGGCTCAGTTCGCTCAGCAAGTCCGGGTAGAAACTTCGCCAAATGGTTGATCATTCCCAAGTAAGACCTGACTTCTGAAACGTCTTGTGGTGGCTCCATCTTCTTGATGGCACTGAGCTTTGCTGGGTCAGCTCTGATGCCTTGCGACGAGACGATCTGGCCCAGAAACTTCACTTCCTTTTTGCGGAAAGCACATTTGTCTGAATTTAGCGTTATCCCCGCCTCTCGCAGACGATGGAGCGCTTGCCTTAGGTTGCGGTCATGTTCATCTGCCGTGCTGCCGAACACGATGATGTCGTCCTGCAGACGCACCTGCCCTTGAAGTCCCTCGAGCACTCGTAGCATTTCTCGCTGGAAAACCTCGGGTGCCGTCGATATCCCGAACGGTAGCCGCAAGAATTGAAAACGTCCAAACGGAGTCAAGAATGTTGTATATTCCTGGGATTTCTTGGACAATGGTGTCTGCCAGTAGCCTGCCCTTGCATCAAGCTTGTTGAACACTTGTGCACCAGCCAGCTTTGCTAGGCTCTCGTCCACAGATGGCATGAGCACTCTTTCTCGAACAATCTGCTTGATCAGTTCACCGTAGTCCACGCAGATGCGCAGTTCGCCGTTCTGCTTCTTTGCGACCACCATTTGTGCACACCATTCCGTCGCTTTGTCGACTTTGACGATAACCCCTCGATCTTGCATGCGCTGTAGTTCTCTTTCTACGTCGGGTAGAAGTGGGATTGGTACTCTTCTCGGATATGTCACAGCATGGGGTTTAGCTCCTGGAACAAGCACTACCCTGTATGCGGCCTCCATGAGCCCTAGTCCCGAAAGAAGCTCTGGGTAGCTCTCGAGAATTCTGCGTGCTTCAGCGTCTTCATTCTCTGGTGCCGTGGTGACTTCCTGAAGATACCTAAGGACCTGCAGCGCTTTGATAGCTGGACGTCCCAGGAGGGCCTCGCGGAGGCCGCTGACGACGTAGACAACCTCTTGTGCCGAGTCGTCATTCCACTTGATTGTGACGTCAGCTTGTCCCACTGTGTGGATCGGAGATTCACCTAGACCCAAAAGGCGCTCGTTGTTTTCTTTATCTCGCCCATTTTAGCCTGGTCGTAGAGATGCTGTGGGATAGCTGTGACATCTGCACCAGTGTCTATTTTAAACGTCACATCCGTTCCACTGACGTTGGCAGTGATCTTCCATGGTTCTGTGCTTCTTTCTTGCACGATTTCTCCCACGTAAACTTCTCCCACAGTCGCGCTGTGCTGGCGTTGACCTTTAGGCGTCCGGGTCTTCGGGAGTCGAGGCGACCTGCACACGACAGCGAAGTGTCCCTTTTTCCCGCAGTGGTTGCACCGTTTTTCCGCAGCTGGGCACTGCTTCCTAGAGTACTGCTCTGCACTGCCGCACCCCTTGCACCCGCCTTGTCCGATTCTGCCAGACGCGTTTCCTTGGTTTTTTCGTGGTCTCGAATGTCGTATCTCGTCTAGGGCTGCATTCTGTTCAGCTTTCTCATGGAGCTCGCTTTGTTGCTTCTTGACGATTTCTGAATTTCGGGCTTTCTGCGTAGCCGTCTGCAGCGTCAGCTGGGGGTCCAACTGTAGTTTCTCACTAAGTCCCACGTCCAGCAATCCCACGACCAGCCGGTCGCGTATGGGGTCGTCCTTGAGGGGACCGTACTCGCACGACTCCGCTAG